TTGAGCAGGTTCTTGTTTATTCTGAATCTCTCCTGCCAGATGAGGGTAAGAGTTAGGTGTGAAGACTGCTTGAGATATTGCAGTTCACATTTTGGGACATAGTAGTTATGCAGTAAAAAGTAAAATAGCAACTACAAGAATCAGAAAATCAATCACAGAACTGAGTATTTATTACTGACCATCAGCCTCCAGAGACATGAAACTGCCACATGCAGTAGCAAACATCTCTCAGAAGATGAAGGTTTGGGTCTTCATCTTATCACATCAAGAGTTCATTAGCCCTCCAGAAAGCATCTTTTCTTGAGAATTTGTTTTTCAGGCTTTGCAATTATCATCAGATCTAAAGATGATGCCAATGACATGAGTGTAAATAGCACTTCCAAAAAAAAAAAAAAGAGTGCACCTGGAATGAAAGACCTGAAGATACTTCCAATTAGGGTGGAAGGGAACAATCAGGGATGACACTAAAATAAGTCCCAAAGCCTAGCACTGCTAAGATGAGCAGAGAGCTGGAGATTATTTTAACTGAGACATGCACCCATCCACCTTGCCCCTCCATTGCAGGGAATAAATGATAAAGTAGAATGTGAACATCTCTGGATCTTAGTCAACCATTGACCCATTCATCTACTCTGTAATCAAGTACTGAGCATGAGTCAGTTCCATGTTTGAGAAATGCAGGCATCATAGATCTAGAGACATAGAAGCATGGAACAGACTGACGAGTCTCAGAGGGAAGGGGGGTAGGAAGAGATTAATCAAAGAACTTATATGCATATATGCATAACCCATGGTTACAGACAATAATGTAGTGAAGGCCTGGGGGTGGGGGAAGGGTGGATGAGGTCAATGGGGGAAAAAGAGGACATCGGTAATACTTTCAATAATAAAGATAAAATTTTAAAAAGAATAATAAAATTATGTTAAGGCCCCACCAATAAGTAAATAAATAAAGGTCATTTTCAAACCCCCCCCCCCTGCAAAAAAAAAATAGAAATGCAGAAGTCAAAAGGCATGATCCTGTCCTGGCCAGTGTGGCTCCATTGCTTGGGCATCCCTCTGTGCACCAAAGAGCTGCTGGTTCTTTACCCGGTCAGGTCACATGCCCAGGTTCTGAGTTAATTCTCAGTAGGGGACGTGTGCGAGGCAGCCCATCTATGTTGTGCTCTCATATCGATCTTCTTCTTTTCTCCCTTCCTCTCTCTCTAAAAATCAATAAAATACCTTTAAAAGGCATGATTCCTGTCTACTAAGAGAAAGATGACAATGCAAGCAAGATATGACAAGACCTAGAATCATACATGTCCAAGGGACAAGGAGAACACAAAGGAAGAGTTTCAGTTTTATCAAGGTTGATCATGAAAAAATAAAAGTGTTGCTTAAACTGAGTTTTGAAGAATGAACATGAGTCCCCTGCCAAGTCAGCATGGTGTGCACATGTCCTCTTTGTGACTCTCTACACATAGTCTAGTGCAGGAGCAGAGAGAATGCAGTAGAGTAACATGATGAACCTCTGAGGCATAGTTATCGCACATTCTCCCTTTCAGTGTAACTCTAACAATGCCTAAGATGATGTTTGGCACGTATGTCCTCAGGAGATAAGTGGTTGTTATCAAATCTCATATTATCTGTAGATTTAATCTTCTTGTGTGACACAGCAGAATCAGAAGTATACTTTGTGTGTGGTCAGATAAGAGAACTGAAGAACTCTCAGACATGGCTTCTTTTTATCTTCCACTGGATATTATCTAATGCAGTATTCCTTAACTTGGCATCCTCAACTACTCTATTAAAAGTTTTTTGTTTTCATTCAAATTGTAAAGATGATACATATATTAGAGTGATGAGCCAGCTATCAAGTTTTGCCATGCCTTTTGGCATTCAAGTTTTGTGTTTGTGGTTTTGAACATCTTAACACCACATGATCAGCCAAAATGATAACTTTTTCTTCTAATTCAGTATTCTTTGGAATTCAGGCCCTCAAATTTGATAACAACTTGACCTGCAATTCCTGAAGATAAGGATATGAAGACCCAGAGAGGAGAAATGGCTTTATAATGCTTTCAGCTAGTCGGTAATGGGGACTAGAACCCCAGATGCCTGAATCAATGTTTTCCCTGTCATAGTTAAGCCACCACCCCTCTGAATAGGCATCCACCAGTCCCATGACTTTCAGGATCTTTAAGTTCAGATCCAAGTTCATAATTCACAATGGTGCAGATTACTTTATGGTCAGAGTTTCAGCTTTCCTGTTTAGCTTGGACAAGGTCTGTGCCTCACCTCTCTGAGAAGCAAGCAGAAAGGATCAGGATAAATTCCTCCAGCTTAGGATAGTAAAGATTCGCTTTTTAAAAAATCCGTACTCTCTGACCCTCTCCTATGTCAGAATTTGTGACTTCATACATATAAGGATTTCTCTTACATTCTAATGAGATGGTACCATGAAACTTCTGATCCTAAAGTAAGTATTTTTTAAAACATTATTTTTCAATTAGAGTTTACATTCAATGTTATTTTGTTACTAGTTTTAGGTGTAAGTATTACTTTTTTATTCATTTAAAGGAGGTATAAATTGTTTTCCTAATAGGAATTTTAAAAGCAGAGCAATCGATCAGTTTATGCTGTGCCTTACACACATTTGATAATTAATAAGTAGTTGTTAAATGAATAATAAATTGATGTTACCTAAAACACCCATCTAATGCAATAAATAGTCTAGCTTGGAACTGGAAGGTGAGTAAAACACAGGGTGTGGGGATTCAGCAGAACCACCTGGGGAGCTTTTGGAAAATGCAGACTCTGGAACCCCACCCAGACTAAGTAAATAGGAATTTCCACAAGCTGACACCCAGAATTCAACATGTACAAAAGTTCTTTCCAAATGAACTCTTGACGTGTTTTTCAGAGCAAAAGATTCTCAGTTGAAATGATGGAATCAGCTATGCTAGAAATCCTACATGAGATGCAAGAACTTCTGGCACCATAGTAACTGACACCAGCTGTCCCTTTCCTTCTTTCAGATATTTTCTCTGCTCAGGACCCTACTTATTCATTCTCTGGAAAAAAAAAACAAAAACAAAAAAACACCTTATTATTAAATGCTTATCATGCTAGACCAGAGAATAGAGTATTGTACACAATATAAATGGCCGTTTTCTCATGGAACCCATATATCTCAGTCAGGTGAGTACTACTAGAGTTCTACCCAGGATATTTTTCTGAATGTATGCGCTTGACTTTTATTCCTTGGTATCTCCTTACTATCTCCTTACAACAAAGAACATTTTTGGCTTCCTGGTCCCAATGGTGGAAAATAACTATTGACAACAGCTCTCTAAATGTACATCTCCTCCATTCAAGAAAGTAGTCAATCCCAAAAAAAAAGCTCACTGGCTCAACCTAGGCTGGGTAGGTCTCCTGGACTAGCCACTGTGGCCTAGAAAAGAGGTGTCTCATTACAAGGGCATGGTTGCTCCAATGGAGCTATATCATCAGAGAGAGATTGGGGAAAGTCCATTAGAAAGAGATAATGGTTATACAATCTGATACATTTCAACCACAGCTCTCTGAGGGCCATCCATGCACTTCAGTGCTTGAATGCTATACCATTCACTTGGGTAGCCTAGAGTTTTATTCTGCTTACTGTCCAAATTTTGGCTCTATTCAGGTAAGTAGGTTATTTTAGTTATTCTTTCATTATTCACTCATAAAACATTCATTAGGCAGTGACCTGGTCCTGGTCCTGAGGATAAGAAGAAATAAGCATAAATTTGCTTCACTTAGTGCTTACACTTTACTCAAGAAGACAAACATGTAGACACAAAATGATAATTTATAGTGGTGGAGTCATGTACCAAGTACAAACACAAGAGAGTCATAGAAATCTTCACATATTTCCTTAAATGAGTCTTAATGGATACAAAGGAGTTCTCCAGCTTAGACTGACTAGGGAGGCTCCCAAACAAAACATACTGTGAAAACAAAGTTAAGGTCTGTGTAGCAGAAGGAAGTTTCATGGGTGAGAGGTGAAGTAGTAACTGTAGCTAAAAGATTAGTCACTTTATAAGTGACTTCCCAGCTTTACCACTTGTGAGGTGGGTGCACTTGGGCATATTGTCAGATTTTCTGTACATTTCTCATAGGATTGTTGTTCAAGTTAACATTTGTAATGCACGTGAAGTGTTTAAAGTAGTACTGACATATCTTGAGTGCTTATTAAATGTTTTAATGTTGTCCTCATCACCATTATTTCAAACAGATGTGCTATTCCTGGATGAGTTCATTTTACTTGTGAGAGAAGACGCCATATTATTTATCATCATGCCATACTCATTGTGACTTGGACTTGGCCCAGGGTACAAAGTAGTCAATTGAAAGATCACATGCATTATGTTGCTGACAATGTTATGGTGGATCTTACAGAATTAGCAGAGGAAATTCCAGTGTAATCTCACTCACCACAAAACCACATGCTGCTTTTGCATAGTTGTACAGTCTAATCATAAGGTGCCAATTCTACTATGTTTGGTTAAAGACTCTTGCTGACTACACCTGTCATTCAGCCCAGACCCCCACCACGGAGACTGTGAACCAGAATCCAACCACATTTTTCCAGAGAAATGTTCCAAAGCATGAACTAGTCTTGAAAACATTGCACCACATCACGTGGACAGTTAACTTTCAACTTTGGAACAATTTCTTACATATTCTTAGGACTTTGGTTCAAGGGATGTGATCAGTGCCACCCCACCCTCCTTAGAATTGGGTAGGAATTAAAGAATTCTTTCTATTTCTTCCTCTCATTTCTCTATCTCTTCAATCAAAGACCAACAATGGGGACAGTAACATTCGAGCTGAACACTCACCCCAGAACCATATCCTTTGCTAATTCTATTTACATTTTCTCCTGGCTTGGCCTTTTCAGGCTTGCTTCTTCTGTACAAATAATGCTCTTCTTGCTAAATCCGCCAGTCACTGTGCAGGTGGTATCCTTTACTCACATGTTGGATGGAGAACCATAGTGGATTGCTATCTTCACAGGGACCTGTTTAGATTTTGCTTGCAGAGCAGCTTACTCTGGCCGGTTAAATCTTCTTTCTTCAATGTGAAAGAGAGACAGAGACTCACAAACATGACTGAGAGAAAGAACCATTGAGATCTTGAAAAACACAATGCTATCTATCTTTTCTCTTAAAGAGACATGGGGAAGAGACATACTTTATTAATCTCTGAGAGGTCCAAGAAAGAAAGGAAAATACAGGGAATAAAGAAAAGAGGAGGAAAAGAAGAGGATATGGCAAAGTGAAGAAGAGAAGGAAAAGGAGAGAAGAAAGATTAAGACATCAGTTGTGGGAGGGAGTCCGTTTCAATATATCAACATGTTACAGTAATATTTGTCCACACACTTGACCCCATGCATCTATAGGGTATGTAGAAAGGGTATATAAACACCTCTAAATGTGGCTTCCATGTCCCAGAGGCCAAATGGCATTCCTTAGGGTTCACCAAATCTGTGTTTCATGGGCCAATGGTCTCATGAAATCACATGGTAAACTTACGGGATTTTCCAAAATTGAGATGAGATACTGGATACAACTGAACAAAAAGCAAAGTCTCCATGAAGTTTTAAAATAAATCTCTTTTAACCAGTCACTTGAAGCCACTTGAAGCATGACCACCAGGGCATTTATTTGTTTTCCTTGAATATTAGAGAGTCTTTAGGAGAAAAAAGTTTAAGGAGTGATTTTCAACTTCACCATTTTTGAGCTATCTAATCCCTCTGAGCTATTTAATCTCTCTGAATCTAATTTCCCCTGCCTGAGAAATGGCACTAAAAAACAAACTAATAATAACAATAAAAAGAAAAACATTGTTTTACTATAGTAATAATAATAACAACAACAATAACAAAGTCACTGGCGAACCTAAAACTCAGTCTCATTCCTCTGCTCATTCATTCATGCACTTATTCACTTGTTTATAACAAATATTTAGTGAGGAGCTGATCCTAGGTCAGACTCTATAAATAGAGTGATGAACCAAACAATCAAAAATCCTGCCCTCCTGGACCTTACAGTGTAATTTCCTACTCTGTCGTCTAGCCTTCCTCATCTCTTCTTTGACTAGGTGAACACAAAGTCTTGGGTATCCATGCTTATTTTTCAGAAATAGGTCTTCATTTCTTTTATCTCTCTATGAAATAAGGCAGTAGCTGATACCACAAGAATGTGGTTGTGATGAGTCTGTGAGAATATAAGGCTATGCTGCCCCACCTGGATCCTGCCCATGGCAGGGCCTGGGCCAGCCAGTTGCCAGTTGACAGGGGACCAGGTGAGTGCTGGGAGTGTCTGTGACTCAAGCAGTCCTGCCTGAATGTCCACATTGAGATAATGAGACTCTTCAACCCAAAGCATCCGGAGGTAATTGGGGTGTTTTTTAAACAAACTTTGTTGAATGATAAAGCAGCACCCAGAGCAGCTGCCCTGGGAAAATTGGGTGTGTGGTTCCTGTAGTCGTTCCATTCGCACAGAGCCAGGGCGTGTCCCAAGCCAGAGGAATCCTCTGGAAAGCCGATCAGCCAGTGATAAGAATGGGTATGTTCACAGGCACTTGTATGAATAATGTCAGTCCTCACGGAGCTCAAAGCACTTTATTATAGGTAGGTAGATAGCGACTAATCATACCGAGTCAACAGAAGAATCGAATCCCCTTACATTCAGTCCCACATTCTGCATGATTCTGTTATTAAGAAGAGCAATTATTTTGCTATCTGGGGCAAAATGGATCCAGTTGGAAGAGTTCTCATGGATACTTTGGGAAAATCTTGCATTTCCTGTAAAATCACAATTATTGTAACAAATTTCTGCTTTGTAACTGTATTTTCCATCTCTGTTATCTCTTTTGAGCCTCACAACACTTTAAAATATAGGCAGAATATGTATCGTTATACCCAATTTAATGGAGAAGGAAATGGAGGTTCAGAGAGGATAAGTGACTTCAATAAATGTTCTCAGCTTTTAAGAAGAAAAGCATGATCAGTCCTGCTGATGCCAAAACCAGAGCTTTCTCAATCTCTGTGCTGTTTTCAAAGTTTTCCTTTCTTTATTAGTAGAATTTGAATCCTCAGGACCAAAAAGTGGCATAGACTGTTGTAGAATTTCTTTTTAAATGTTTTCATTTTTTACCTAAAAAAGAATGCTCTGATTTTGAGGACATGACTATAGGATTGTGCATAACATGGGCCATTTGTGTTGGTTTATGACATCGCAAAGTTGGAGAATGTTCATGTATTGATTTGAAAGGAGACAAGGAGCCTGGAGATGAGACTCCAAGAGGTAGAAGATGATTCAGAGAACCAAGCCCATAACACTGTGAGGGGGAAAACTCAACCTGCTTCTTCAGTCTGTGGTTTGTACTTGGAAACCCTTTTTTTTTTTTTTTTCGCTACTTCAGTTACCAAACTGATACACACTTGTCTCTTTTTCTTCCCCACTTGACTGTCTTCCTACTTCCTTCAAGAAAACAGAGGATACTATGCTAAGTGAAATAAACCAGTCAGAGAAATACAAGTACCATATGATTTCCCTTCTATGTGAATCTAATGGATAAAATAAACAAACAAGCAAAAAAGAAACAAACTCATAGATACAGAAAACAGACCGGCAGCTGTCAGAGGGGAGAGAGGTTGGGGGACTGGGTGAAAAGGCGAATAGATTAAGCAATACAAATTATTAGTTGCAAAATAGCCACAGACATGTAGATTACAGCATATGGAATACAGTCAACAATATCGAGATAACTATGTAGTGGGTACTTAAAGCCAGGGGGACCACTTCGTAAAGTACTAGGTTTTCTAACCACTTTGCTGTACATCTGAAACTAATACAGAATAATATTGAATGTCAACTGTAATTGAAAAGAAGAAGAAGAAGGAGGAGGAGGAGGAGGAGGAGGAGGAGGAGGAGGAGAAGGAGAAGGAGGAGGAGGAGGAGGAGGAGAAGGAGGAGAAGGAGGAGGAGGAGAAGAAGAAGAAGAAGGAGAAGAAGAAGAAAACAGGATTATTGTAAAGATGCCCTACATAGCCATAGCAAGTGCTCATCAGATATTTGCTACAGTTGAATAATATGCTGACTCAGAGATTAGGGAGTAATACTAGTAGCTAGCACTTACAGAGAACTTAATACATGCTAAGCTCTACATGAATTAACATATTTAATCTTCACACAAAAAAAATTCCATTCAGTATTATGAGCATCATCCCCATTTTATAAAAATCTGAGGTTGAGACATTTGTCTAAGTTCACAGAGGTAGACGCAATAGTCCTGAATGTGAACTCTGGAAGTCTGACTCTCTAAAAGAAACTAAATGCTCTCCAGAGAAAAGGAAGTTTTATTCACCTCTCATCTCCAGGCTATTTAGCATGGCTACTAGAAAATGCTAAATTCTTTGTAAAGCTTTGATAAATTCTGTAAAGGTCCTTAATGTCAGGAGAAACTGCTATATGCGTCTGACAAGCTTCAGGCTGAGAGGTAGGGTGCTGAGATTCCGAAGGCCCTGGTCTAACCTGTCTGGGCCAAGGATACTACCTCAAATCTCCTGAGTAAGTGAATACATATATTCAAGTCGTGGTTAACCCCTACTCTGACTTCCATGAAAAAAATGAGGTCAGAAACACCTTTTTTATAAAAAGCCTATGAAGCCCTAGAGCACGATGCCAGCCCTCTGGAAGCTACTCAATAACAGGCTCAGGCAGATCTGTAAATAAACGAATGACTCCACTGGTGAAAGATGCTAGCTTCTCAAAAAGCTACGTGTACGATTGATATTCCAGAATCCTATCCTTATAGAAAATCTTCAGCATTACCTCTGAGACGAGGCACTCACCTCCTTTCCCCCAGAGTTAGAACATCACCGGGAAGATGAGTTACTTGGGGGGAATCAGATCTCCAGAAGGCTGATCTGGGGACGATTTGCACACAACCAACATATACCCAGGTTCTGACGAACTTGCATCTATTCTGAAAAGGAATGTTTATTGGGAGCACAGTGTGCTGAGGACTTTTGCTAAGAAAACCTCCAGTACGAATACTTTCTGAGCCTTGCATGAGAAGGGAGAGACTGGCCCTCAGCAAGCAAAAGGTTGTGTGCTCTCCGTCTGTGACAAGGCCAGTGTAGGAACTAGCTCTAGGCTGCTCCAAAACCACAAGAGGTCCCTCTGGGAAGGGCAGGTTCATTCCTGTTGGCCAGCAACACTCTACAGCTATTTACCAGTACACAAAACCTACACAGAAGCCCATTGTTACACTTCCCTATAAAATGAGGTTAGGAAGGTTTGCTCATCTTTTCATAGACTATTAAACTTAAAGCATCGTTGGAGCCCTGTCAATTTCAACTTCCCATGTTACATATAAGGAAACTCAGTCTCAGTGAAGGTATAAGGCAAGCAGTTAGTTGGGGATCACCTGTAACCAGCATCCTCGTCACCTAGTCAGTTTTTACCACTGTAATAGGCACTTCCTTTCTTTACTCCATACCACTTCCTTCTTTCTTAACTGCTCCCTTTTTTTTTAATCTCATTTTGTTATTGAGTGGAATGGGGTCCAGCCACTTGGTAGAGGTCAGCCAAAAACACATTCCAAGAAAGTTTATTGCTGGCCAGCAAACAAGGAGTGCACTGGGGGTCATTCCCTGAGCAGTTTCTCGCCAAGAACAAAAGACCAGATGGTTTTATAGGGCTGTTGCTTACATCATAGCATGTTGAGGTATGTTTGGGTGAGCATGCACAGTAAATGGGCATGGCTAGATATGCATCACGTGCACAGAAAACAGCAGGTAAACCCTCACCTGGGGGAGATTTTAGTATTATTATGAGGGTGTAATGAAGGAAATTCCCACTGAGCCCATCGAAGTGTTCTCTGTTCCATTTCAACTGATCTCTGGAGGCTTTCTAGCAGCTTTTCTTGTTTCTTTTTTTAGAATTTTTTTTAATATATTGATTTCAGAGAAGAAGGGAGAGGGAGAGATAGAAATATTAATGATGAAAGAGAATCATTGATCAGCTGCCTCCTGCATGCCCCCTACTGGGGATCAAGCCCAC